TTTCAGGAATCCCAGCCCAAGCTGCGTGTCCCTGCCCCAATTCGCTGTTTCTGCTGGTACATTTCAGCGATAAGATTTGAACAGTTTGAGCACATCTTTCTGTAGAGATGTCATTTAAGCCACGTCTGTGTCTCTGCTTTATACTGGCTTTGTCTTTACGGTAAACTGGATGTGTGAACTGATCTGGGTTAAAATAGCTTTTTTTTTCCCTGGGTTATGTTTTAGCCGGTTTCACCCTCTCTGGTATGCGCAGCTGCACAAACAGTGGTGCTGCCCTCTGAGTTGCACTGGCACATGGGTGAGTGTGAGCAGCAGAGGAAGGGAGGATGAAGGAAGGGTCTGCTGAAGATGGTCTGCTGTCCATGGAAATCCTCATCAAGCCCCACATGGAAAAATGATAATCCGCAGTCTGCTGTTTTAGCTGAAGGAAGAGTGAAGGAGATGTGAGGAAAGGCTAGCAGAAATGAAACACTATTAAATTACATTTTGGTGAAAACCTTGCTGTGGATAGTATTGGAAGAAAGAAGATTGTGTAATAAACAGCACCAATTTGCACTAGCATCACGTCTTGCAAGGGGGATGGCCTAGAAGTAGCAGTATGGCTGGGTGACAACACTGGTGTGATTTCATCTTGAATAATCAATTCAGTCTTGGGAATGACAGGCTCTCCTCTTTATCAGTGCTGATTTCTTGGTTTAATCATCTCTATCAAGTAATGAAATGTACAGCTACACAGATACTGTTTTTGTGAAAGCAGTTTGTGCACTTTTGCTGTAGCACTTGTTATGCTTTAGCCAAGGAGATAATCCTGTTTATGGTGTGGGAGCTTGGCAGCCTCAACAAGCACGTGTGTTTGTGCTTGCCTCAGAAGAAGCATATGGCTTTGGTAGCTTTGAATGTGTGAGGTTTTAGAAATGCACATTGTCTCTGGCAGGGCTGGGGAGATCGGTTGTTTCTGAGAGAAACACCAAAGCTACTTAACTGTCAGCAGATATTCATACCGTGTGGCCCTGTAGCACCTTCTTACATTCAGTATAAGTTTACATTGAGTATTTCATGCTATCATTTTCTCAAGAAGCTAAAACTGAATTTGGAATGAATTCTCTGAAGCTGCCATAATTCCTTCAGCATTAGTACTAGTACATATTTGCATAAAAGTCAGGTTTTGTCTAAATCCATACTGTCTACTGTTTGTCTGTCACCTGTTCTCCACCTGAATGTACTCAGTTGTGTAACATTCATAACCTTAGATAAAGGAAATAAGAGGAGGAACAGCTTTTATTGCTCATCCTAAATCTTTCGTGCTTTTGACGCTCTGCACATTTTATAAATATCTTTATCACCGTAACTGTCCCAATAGCAGAGGTGCTGTGGAACCAAGTTGCTGTTCATACGGGTGCGTCGACACTCACCGTCTGGACGAGACTTTTCATCCTCCTTTCATTAAGACTGTTTTATTGATGGCCTACAAATAGTTGCATCAGCATAGCTGAGGGTGCCGCATTGTAGTTTGCGAGTGGGAATGAACAACTGGTTCAGGAATATCCTAGGCCATTGTAGAAAATTCTCTGACAAAAAAGTGAGAGATGTGAAAGTACTTATTTCTTCTAAGTGTCTGAGATGTGTGGTTTCTGCTGGAAGGTATTTGACCAAAGTGTTTAAGGTACAAATAGGTAGCTCACGTGATTTTTTTAGAAGAGTCTGGTATCAGCTGGAGCAAAAATCCAGCTTAAAATCCCTTAATGATTTAGTAACTTGTGCAGTATGCCTCTATTTTTCAGCCCATTTGGATTCAGCTAAGCATTCTTCCATACGAACTAGCGCTGTGACGTGTTATTACATATGATGGATGCCCATACCCATCAGTGAGAGTATTTCCGTAGTGAAGTGGTGAATAATCAACAGTTTTGCTGAAAACCTAAAGCTAAACTTGCCTTTAAAGACCAGATAAGAAAAAGTAAGAATTGTTCCTACAAGTGTCTTGTAAACATCCAGGCTTCTGCTATGGCATATGTGTAAAAAGTCTCTTAAATTACTAGAGCTTCTTTTCTGATAAATACCATTATGTTAGTTTCAAGCAAAATGAATTTTTATTTCTCATGTAAAGTACTAGGTGGTTTTTCTTTGGAAAATACTTCTTTAAATTAAATTAAAATGAAGTTTCCTAGCAGTATTACTTGATAACTGAAACACAAGAAACTTTTTAGCTTGAAATGCTGTTACACTGTGATTCTAAATAGATAATCCCTTAAAAATCCCACTAAATACTATGAAACAGGTGGATCCTTAGCAGGTGTAGTGTACTCCTTTCCCTACTCCTGAAATTTCAGGAAGGAAGCATGTCTGAGAGTGTGCACATGCATGGGCTGTGTTAATGTGTACAGAGCATCTGTGCCTCCCTGCTGGTTTCTATCTGAATTGGGCTCAGCCAGGACTCATCTGCCTGTGTTGTGAGGTTAAATAGGCTCAAACTCTCCTCTGACACCACGGACATTGCCTCAGCCGTTTGTATGCACATGCCTTGCAAAAACAAGTGATGGTCTCAGAAAACCACTTTTGTTTGCCATTCACACTCCTGCAACTGCTTCCCCACTGGTGATTCTTCTGAGGTTAAATTTGCAAAATTTGAGGTGTGGGTACTGTCCTGAAAAGTATCTGAAATTCTGGTTAAAAAAACCAAACACAAATCCGTAGGGATACAGTTTGACTGTCCAGCTGAGACTCTGTCATGCAAGATATTGAGCCCATCCCAGGAGGAGCAGAATGCCACCACTGTCATTAAAGCAGTCTGCTCTGATGTTAGCCAGAGCCCTGCTGGGTTTCGTTTGGAAACTACAGCTATGGTTGCTGGAAGGAGGCTGAGGGCATAGTAATTATGCTGCTGTCAAATTAGTTTGAAATATTTTGACACAAATGCAAGTTGAATCTAAATCAACATCTCCATCTCAATGAATTTGCTGAGGTTTAAGCAGAAAGCTGTTAGTTTTGATGTCAGCCTACTGACAACGGGGAGTGGAATTCCTTTTGCTTTTGCTGTTAGTCCTTGACTGCAAGCAAACAGCACCCAAAAGGCAAGTTAACCGACACATTTTGCATTTCTTCCATTGTTCAAAACTGTCATGGGTATGAAGGTACTTAATAATCAACCTGGAAGAAGTTTCATCTCATGATGGCTATCCATGTCACCAAAGTAGTCTATTCAGCTTAACGCAGCCAGGAATTATATCCAGGATATTTGCAATGTGTTATCTCCAATCCTCATTAGATTTTTTTTTTTTTTTTTAAACTGCGTGGATTCCTGTAAAAAGCCTGAAGTCAGGAACATGACATCATTCCACCCAATTAAGGTGCAATAATCATATAGTCAGCATGTTCAGAAGGTGTCTTGTGGAACATCTTTAAACCTCACTTTGAAATTTTTTATCTGAGAGGGATTTTATTTGAGCCTTAGTAGCTTTTAATTGCCTTAGGTTTAAGCTATTTGAAAGTCTGGCAAACTTCTTTTCTTGTGATGTCTTTGTTACTGGAGTTCTTTATTAATGTAAAGGCAGACTACTTTAAACTTTTATTTTTCTAAAATTCAATCATAAATACAAAAAAGGTCAGTCTGACACAAACCCTTCAACTGATGTATCTTTGCAGCAAAACCATTATCTCTAGACAGGCATTGCAAAAATGTGATTAACTGTGGAACTTTGTATAAATACACCAGATAGAGTTTGTTATTCACAAACCAATTTCTTGCCTTTGTTGGAATAAAATGAAATACTTCTATTTTGTGTTCTGGTGCTTTTTGTATTGCTTGAGATTACCAAGTCTTCTTCCCCAAGTGGTATCTCTTTAGAATTTGTTCAACACTTCTTCCACATGTGCTGTTAATTAAATGTGCTAGAGTACAAATTACTGGTGGGGTGTTCCCTGGAGTATTGCACACATCTCTGGCTATCTGTGGTCAGCACTGAAGTAGCTGAACTGGTGATACGATCCTTCGTCCATCGTCCTGTTCCTATTGAAAGAAGTCGAAAAGGTTGGCTTGTTTAAAATAAGCTATAGGGGTCATCATTGCTTTCTCCAAGGTCATTCAGAACAAAAGGAGAGAGAAAGAGGAAAGAGCTGTTTACTCTAAATAAACAGAAATGATGGCACAAAAAGTAAATGCCTGGTCTGACCACAAAAAATTGTCTGCTGAAAATCTGTGAAAGGATTTCTAACATCCTGAATGTGAGAGTCTGCATCTGCGTTCAAATAGAAGCCGTAAAGGCAGAACACGCATTCAGTTTGAGCTGAATAACATGATGTGGATGCTCATGGAGACAGGTTGAGCTTAGTGACTTGTGATTTCAAAGTGTATCCTAGAATACTTTCATATTCTTTTTTTTTTTTTTTTTTTTTTAAGTGTCCAAAGTGCTTTACGATATCAATGCTACAATTCAAAATACGTATGTCAGGAAGGATAGGAGGTGAGAATAAAAAAAAAAAAATTACAATCAAAAGAGCAGTGATGGGTCAGGAATTTTCTGCTACAATTCCTTGCTTCTCAGAGGAACCCTCCCTGGCTGCCTGCTACCTTGCCTTGTCCACTCATTGTATAGGTTATCTTTATTGTGAAATGAAATTTATTTGTCTAGCGATCCCTGTTAACCCAATGGAGCTTGCTTCCTTGTGTCTGCAGTGTGCGTTAGCTCTTGATTCTTAAAACTACATGGCAGTAATTTCCTTCCCCCACTTTAGGCAAGAGTGTAAGCTCACGTTGTCAACTTTGTAATGCACAAATTGTGCAGCTCCTAAATGATGGAATAGCTGAAATCATGGTTATAATTCATGTACCTGTAGCTGAATATCATATCCACCATCAGTGCCCTTTACTTGGTTTAATGCTTTAGCAAGCCTGTTTGACAAGGATGAATCTAAATGAGAGATTCAGATTTCTCACTCAGCAAACACGATGCTAGTTTCTGTTGCCTGATGTTCATCCTTGTATTGTTTCCTTGTCTCTGCAGCTTCCTATTGTTGAAAAAATACAGATCATTGCTCAGAAGGTGTATGGAGCTCAGGATATAGAGTTGTCTCCCGCTGCGCAGTCACAAGTTGATTGTTACACCCGGCAGGTAAGAACACCAGTGAATTACCCAGTCAGATACCTGCTGGATGAGAGTCTTAGGAAACCTCGGGGTGTAAAAGGTTCTCAGATTGGAGAGTTTAGGCAAGCTTTGCTAAAAGGCGTGAGCTTACCCATGGTGCTAAACTGTGGAGGTCAGTATGGATTGGTTTAGATTAGAGTAGATAGAACAGAATGGTTTTAACCTTGAAAGCTATCTCCCATAAGATATGTATGGTGTTTGGAATCATTTTGAGATTGATGAAACTCTGTATTTTCTATGCAGAGTGGTAATTTTGGATTACTGCCTTAAATGTGACAACTGCACATCTGCAAAAGTAGCAGCTGGTGAATGTGCCCAATTTTAGCATATGAGAGTTCATTTGTACCTGCAAAAAATAAGTTTCCAAACACAAAAAGACCCGTGCGCAGCTATACACTTTAATAACAAAGCTCCCAATACTTGTAAAATCTTTTGTTTCCCTCTGTTCATATTATTTTCAAGGGGTTATAAATGCTGGAAGGTAAAATAGATCACTGTTCCTAAAGCATGTGGGAGTGGACTTTGTTACATTTTGAAAACAGTTTTGAAACCATGTGGAGAGGTGAATGTATTTTATGTAATGGAACGGCTTCTGCACGTAAACATGGCTGGAGCCTTTCTGTCAGAAAATAGAAACTATGGATGATGTGTCATGGAAAAATTCCTGAGTATGCTTCAGCAGCCTGGTCAGACAGGCAGAAGTATAGCCATCTTCCCTATAATGCAAATCTCCTGAGAATTAATTTTATATTCTAGATGGAAAAGAAGCTTACTTAGTGTACTTGAAGCAAAATAATCCATGTCTTTATCTTCTCCTGTTGTGATTCTCTAATCCATTTTTTAGTCTAAACATTAGTAGTGTTAGCAAGTATTTTCACAATGTCGTTAAAGGATTGTCATCAGTGCTGGGCTGCAGAGGCAATTCCCTGCAGTGCCGCCTCTCCTCCTGGCCTTGTGAATTGCATCCCTGTTTGTCAAGGAATTGAACAGAAGAGTGGAAGGTGCCTGACTCAAGGTTAATCGGTAACCTGGGAGACAAATAGTGTGGGGGGAGCTGCTGAGGGCCTTTCCCTGATTTTCTCCCACTTTTTGAATAACTACTGCACTGTCATTAGTGAAGTGGGTGCCATTACCTCACGCAGTTTTTGTCTTGTTTAAAAACAAAGCAAAGCATCATGAGCCATTTGTGTTTACCCCCAAGAAGACATTAGTATCCTTAGAGAGTTTTGGACTATGAATCCTGGTCTCAAGTAGGTATCTAACTAGGTCATTAGAGCCCAGAGGGAAGTGCCATACTGGAGTTTTATGAGTTGGTGTAGGTTTCTTCTTCAGTGCGGTACCTGTTGTGCACCCTTTTTGTAAATAGCACACTCTAGCCATTGTGTTGCAAAAGGCAACTTTTGCACCTAACTCTAGATTGAGAACCCACTCTAGAAGCTGGATGTCACTACAGCCAGTCTCTGCAGATACAGGCCTGAGCTGAGAGAGAATAGCATGTAAAATACAGTATTCTGTCCATTTCTGAAATATTAGCTCTCAAGAAACTGAGGTTAACTATTGCTATGTGGATTTTAGGATTTCTAGAAGATACTGATAACAAAGTGAAAATATATTCTGTCTTTACTGTAATCTTAAAAACATTTTTCTTTTATTTTCTTTCCCTTTTCTGTTAGGGATTTGGAAATCTTCCCATTTGCATGGCAAAAACTCACCTATCCCTCTCCCATCAGCCTGAGAGGAAGGGCGTTCCCACTGGTTTCATTTTGCCGATCAGTGATGTGCGAGCCAGTATTGGAGCTGGATTCATTTACCCTTTGGTAGGAACGGTGAGTGCCGTGTGTTCAACTCAATCACTCCCCTCCCTTTGACCCAGCTTGACAGGGAAGTGCATTTCCTGTTTGCCTCTAAAAATAATGTGTAGAACCAGGTGAGCTCTTGGGTTTTTATAACAATTTTATCCTCACACTTTTTGTAGCTCTACGTTGATAGGAAAAGAGAATTAGGAAAATGTAGTATCATATAAGAACTTTGACTATAGGGTCTGAGAGAATGACTCTTGCCATTGGTTCTGTTTCTTACGTTCTTCAGTTTAGCCTAGGATACTTTGGCACCCAAATGCTGCAGAAAAATGAATTTACATGTCCGTTGCCTTTCCTTATTCAAATTGCAGCCTGTAAATAACTGTAGTTACATGATTATATTCTAAATGTTAAATCTTTCATCTGTCATTACAAAGCATTCTGTAATGTATTTAGATGAAAGGAATTGTGTTAGGGAAAAGTGTATGATTAAAATGATTGCTTTTCAGCTGATGAGCCTGATCTATTCCTAGTCTATATTCCTAATCTATTCCTAGATTGTGAACATCTCTGCTGGTTCTGTAAAAGTAAGTTATGGTGGGAAGGGATAGATTTCTAACTGCAGTAGTAGTAGCACATTCTTTCTCCTTTTTAGAGATTTAAACAATGAGGTGGTAAAAAGAGGCAATTGTCATCCTTTCTTCCTACCTGTCCAGATTAGGAAGCTCCTGATATTTTCTTCCCTGACATGCCTTATCAAAGTAGCTGAGAAGCTAGTTAGCTCATGCCTTTTGCCAACCACACACATCTTATTCCAAACAGTAGTTGAACTGCATCTGACATCTCATAGCATGAATTATTACTTATATGTAGCTGATTCATGGGATGGTGCTAGAGAAGGGATGCAAAAGCCATTGCATTTCCGGAAAGAGTACTCTCCCAATGTTATCTCATCTTCCCAGAGCACGGCCTGATTTCCTTGTGTAGCAGTACACTTAGGAGAGGTTGAAAGTTTCTAACCTATTGTTTTGAATTCCCTCTGAAACAATCAAGTGTTTGAAACAAGGAAGGAAGTACTTTCTGACCAGGAGAGTTCCTGAAGTTCAGGAAGCTGTGTCACTTTAACTCACTGGACTTGGGGATATGCTTTCCTTCTGCATGACCACATTATGCGCATCCACCAGAAGTGGAGCACAGCTGTGTACTTTAATTGTGTAAGACCAAATTCCAATTACTGGTGACAGAATAAAATTTGTCAGAAGTTCTAGTATCTCCTTCATGGCCTGGATTCAAGTTTGCTCTGGAAGTTGTGTGTCATAAAGTTGTGAGAAGGAGTGAATGTGAAGAATGGGCAGCAACTACTTCAAATCCATGAGGGAGCTATTCTGTAGGATGTCAGAGTGAAATGTTCTTGGGTTGAGCTTTCTGAATGAGTCACACTCTGCACGCTTCAACACAAACTAGCTGCAGTTCAGCCTCATAAATCCATAGGAACTGTCCATAGGAGCAGTATAGACCAAACAAGTTCAAGGATTACCTCTCATTTTCAGTTTCCGCCTAGAACCAAAAAATACGGTTCTTATGAAGGATATTTTATATATGGGATTTCTTACTGGGGGAGATTGTAAAAAATACGTCCAAGTTAGTTACCCTGACTTCGGTGAGAGGTAGTATAGCCATGGAACTTTTCCCATATCAGGAACTGGGTAGGCAGTATACTCTTATGTATTCCAAGCGAGTTTGTAGGGCAAGGTACTGTATAAACATAAGATCCCCAAGAGCTAAAAATCTACATAGACAGACATTGATCATTGGTTGTTTGGAAAAATACTGCTAATGCTCAGGAACGTGGGACAGAACACTCCTTGGAGCTATCACAATTGCTACAAATCAAAATGAATGAATGAACATGAATGTATTCCTAACATCCTTACCATACAATTCTTTCTCTAGAATTAAATTTATGGCAAGAGGTCCAACTTGCTGCCTTTCAGAATTGAGAGTTGTGATCATCAGGAAACAAACTCTCATAATAGAGTTGTACCACTACTTTTGAGATCACTTTTCTATTTTGCCACCTTCAGATTTTTTGTGTGCGTTGCTGTCAGCAGTTAAGTCCTAGGGCTGGTGGTACTTTTTAAGTTGTGCAAGAAGGAATATTTTTGATGTCGGGTTCCAAAACTGAGAGTCTTCCTTTGACAGTTCTCTTACTAATAAAGCTATCCAAAAATGTCTGCAAGAACAAAGCAAGTATAAAAAGACATGTCCTGAAGGCTTAAAGTGGCTGGAGGTCAGATGCTATGAGTAGAGGGATTACAGAAATCTGGGTGACAGCATATGGTGAAAGCATCCAGTCATGACAGTGGATTAGATTTCTTTATCTAGGAAAAAAAGAAGGAGCAGTATATATTTTTTCCTTTCATTACTTGCTGGCTAATTGTATTAATGGAAGAGGATCCTTAATACCTAAGCTGCTTAGAGCCTTCTTACAGCTAAGACCTTTCTGATAGCAGAATAAATGCTATTGGACAACACGTTCATTAAAGTTGTAGTGATAATTCTGATGCCAATTAAATGTCAAACTCCATTCTCAAAGCATATTTTTCACTGGACGAGCTCCTCTCACTCTAACCTGGCAGAACTTACCAGTGGTAAAGCAGGTTGTTAGAATTCTGCTCCAATTTAATTGGGAAGAGCATGACAAATGAGAGAGATAAGTACTGCTAAAAGATGATGAACTATCTGCAGTAACTAGCATTTGTAGTTTAACCTTGTCATTAGCACATGTAAATTAATGAGATTTGTATTTACCCCAGCACTGACAGGCAATCTTTTTTTTTTTTTTTTTAAACTAAATATTTAACATGTTGTCTTCATATTCTCTAAGCAATATTTGTTTTGTGTTATGGTTGGCTCTGGTTCCCTTACAGCATGGAAGTCTTTCCAGGAAAAATGAGCTGAGCCTTATCGGAGGAAATCAGCAGTGAAACAAGAGGTGCATTTAATTAACACTGGCACAGCTTTTATCCAAGTTCTCTGCGACCATGACCCAGAGGGCTACATCACTCTCACAGGTGGACTGTTGACATCATTGCTTGGCTCAACAGAGTGATGGCAGGAAGGCTGCTGGAATATATGTAGGAAACCAGTGAGGTCATTCACTAGCAATGCTTGGGTGGAGAATTATTAGATTTTTGTAGTATGTGTGTTTCTCTCCACCCCCACCCAAAAAACCATCGCAGTTTGGTGCTTTCTCACATTCAGCCACGTTTCCATTGTTCTTTCTCTTTCATGGGATGTACAAGAATGGTAAAACCTGTTGTCTTTTGCCTTTGTGAAGTGACACTACCAAATCACTGGTGCAAGTAATATAGCTGTGTTTGAATCACAGTGAGGTTTTTAAATATGTACTGCCCTTTTCCAGCCATGCACTTTTGTTTTAATGGGTTAAAATTACAGGCAAGGTCCCTTTGAAAATATGTGGAGCCTTTGGAGCCACGCCAGCTCCCAAATTCTCACAATGAACTAACATCCTTCAGATATCGACATATCTGAAGAAAGGTCAGCCTATTACAGCAATATTGTTTTTCTCCCCTTAGAGAAAGCAGTTCAAGTCTCTGGAACTAGTTCTGAAACTATATCCTCTGGGAAGGAACTCTTGGGGTGACCCAGTGTGGTTTGAAACCAGTTTATGGGAGCAATAAAGCCCTAATTCACTTGTAGGTGAGAGCCAGGACTGTCCTGCTAAAATATTACCTGAATATTGTAAGGGAGAAAAGACCCTGAAAGTAAATATTTTTATGAATACTTTTAGAAGGAAAATATTGTTCCCTGTTGAATGAATTTCTTCTTTCATAGTGGTTAAGAGCTGAAGAAGTTTTGAGGGTGTCCTTTGAACATAAGCTGGAGTCCAGGACCACCTAGAGTGAAATTGCAGTTTCCCGGTGGTGCGTGAGGCCCAAGTTGTCTCCTAACTGTTATTTTGTCACTTCTCTCAAGCTTTCTTATGGGACAGCTGACTAATTATTGGTGGATTGCCCAGCTCGTCCTGACGATCTGTGTAACATAGGGTGATTTTTTCAAAAACACGAATGACGGTGAAATTTAGATATGCCTTGTAAAGAATTTAGCTTACAATACAATTTTGTATCATTTACAAAGGAGTAGTGCTCTGCTAAGTATTCTGACCTCTCTCAGTCCAAAAAATGTCCCTGCTGATGTGGCATTTGGCACCTGCCTTTGGTGTTGTATAGTTGCTGTATTGTAGCAGTGCTCAGAAGTCCCCAAACAGCTAGCTCTAAAAATACTAGGTGCTCATAGACTCTGCAGGCTGGTTTTGAGATAACTGCAGTAAGTGTGGAAAAAGTAACAGAAAAGGAAAGCTAAACTCACATGGGAAATGTAGGTTAGCAATTGTGTAGTTCTGAATTGAAAAATGCTAACAGGAAAAGAAAAGCCCACACTCTCCTCTGTTAGACGATGTGCCTTTGCATTTATTACAGTAGGTGTAATCTCTCTCAGGAGGAAGGGAGGGGGTTTTTCTGAGTTACACAGGGCACATCGTTCCTGAACAGTGACGAGGTATGCACATGCAGAAATGCTGAATAATGTTACACTTGGTGGAAGGCTGATGAATTATTCAGGGTAGGGTTAACAGGACAGGGGGTGAGCACGTAGGTAAGATCAAGGGCTGGAAGTGAAGGCGAGGACAGTCAACTTCAGTTCATTGTGTTTAAAAGCTAGAGGCTGAGAGATGGTTAGTGTAATAACAGCAAATCCACCTGTGTTCCTTGGCTGATTGCATGATGTGTTTGTGGTGGTATTGGGTTGGTCAGAGAGGGTCTCTGTAGATGAGGCAAAAATAGGCCCAAGTGAATGGTTTAGCTGAAGGGATGAGGAAAAGTTGTAGATTATAGTGAAAAGGGGTATGTGGCAGCCTTTGGAAACGTCCCAGGTGTTGGGACTATGAGGCAGTTAAGATTCAAGGATGATTATGACCATTTGTGGTGAGAAGGTGGGAATAGAAG